ATATATATATATATATACGCGAGCATGCGTGTGTGTGTACAGATTTTTGCTTCATGAAGGGTACAATTATTGACCATTTCCCAGTACACACAGCCAGGTGAGGTTAGGGTTTGGGTCAGGTGTGTAGCCTACCTGGGAGGTTATGGTTGGCTATAGAATTGACAGGAAATGAACGAAAGCCAATGCAAAGTCCCCATGAGGATAGAACAACAAACGTGTGTGTGTGTGGAAGGTGTGGAGCGGAGCCCGTGAGCAGAGCGCAGTGTTATTTGGAGAGATGAGACTGTCGGCGGGCGACCATTGATACTGCTGGATTATTTTTTATGGAACATGGAAACTTTTTTTTCAGCGGGCYACCGCTCCTCCTCCCACTCGAACGATTGGTCGCACCAGTGCGACCGGACATCTTTTTTAGTCGCACTATTAGGAAAGCAGGTCGCATTTGCAACCAAACTGGTCGCACTCTAGAGCCCTGCCTGGAGTTCCTGGATGCCTGCATGTCCTAGTCACATGACTAATTTAAATCACTCTACTGGGAAAGATCTGCTCTCCATAAAAATCGGTTCCAAATTTAGTCAAAATACAGATTCAAGCTAAACATTAAACTTTAAATTGTGTCGAAAGACCAAGTAAAACCTGAGTTATGATTAACTTTTAAAAAAAATGTTTTTCTTATTGAAGCAGAGAGGAGCATCGAGCGGACTGATCGGGGAAATCTCCAGTCAGTCTGTCTGGTGGCATTAATCATATTAATCGTCAAGTGCCAAAAAATAATCAATTAATGTTTTTCTGATGATTAATTACACACGATATGATTTTGCCCAACCCTAAGACCCAGTAACAGTCAGACTGTCACGTGAGCTTATGTTCTTATTAAAGTACAACATGGAGAAAATGGATAGTATTCTTACAGCTAAAGTGCTTTCCCCCACGTTGGAAGTGATGAGCCCGTCTCCCTGCTCCGTGTCAAACTCCTGCAGCCTCTGAAGGCGGCCGCGGTGGAGCCTCCTGCAGGCCAGCACCGACACCACGGACAGCAGAACTAGAATCACCACCGGGGCCAGGACAAAGAGAGCTAAAGTCTCCACCCGGTACCGAACTGGTTCACCTTCAGGGGCTGCTGGGGAGAAAAAGGAAGCATCTGTATGAGAATAACTCTGACAGTTAGTTTGGTGACGGACTGCTGCACAACCTGATGGGAGCAGAGACAGCAGCAGGCTGCTGCTGGTGTTGCTGTTGCACCGGTCCTGCGAGCAGCAGAGGATGGCCTGATGGAAAGACGGAGTCGTGGAGCACTGCAGACGGATTTTTTCCGGACCTTTCAGACAGCCGCGCTCGAACACAATCTCACTGCTACCGACTTTAACGGACGAGAAGCACTGGGTACCCTGGCACTGCGAGGCCTGGGGGCATTTAGGGCCTTCACAAACACACGTCAGGTGTTCATCTGTGGAAGACAAGACAGGAAGTGAGTCCACCACAGACACGTCTTATTTTGGTTCCCAACAGGTTTTCACAAAATACTTGAAAAAGGTCTTAATCACACAAAAACATATGAGATTGGAAGCAGGACACAAAGTGAGGAAAGTACCTGAGCCCTCGGCTGATGCCAGCAGGACCTGCAGGAGGAGCAGCAGCAGAACATGGACACTGCTTGGACCCATGTTTCAGTGCACTAACAAGACAAAAGAGAAACAGGAGTGAGTTCAAATGAGTGCACTGCTGCAAAGTGGATAATCACATTTACTCCTCTTCTGTTGACAGACCACAATAGCTTCAGACATGGAGGTAACAAACTATAATAGTGAAATGAGCTTTCTGCTCGTCTTCCAGCGTCTCAAAGAGAAAACATTGATTTGCATTAATTTATAAGCTTCATAGGCTACAAGACTACAGTCAAACAGTGGTGGACAGCACTAATCTAAAAATTAGTTGCACTAACCCTAAAGCATTAACTTTAATATTTAGGTCCCCTAATTCTAAAGCACTAACACACTTACAAATTTAGCAAAAGCTAATTTTACAGCACTAAAAATACAGCTGACCCATGGGTCATTCCTCAGAGTCAACATGA